TTGGATCGGTCGTCGCGTTACTCGCGACTTCATCGCTGACGGTTTCTCCTTCGTGATGGCGTATTTGTTACCGTAAGCTAAGCCTAACTAGAGGCATGTTAGGCTTAGTTTTAGCGATTCTAACAGCGCGGTGTCATGTGAATTGGCTGGATGCGGTCGCCTTTCTACGTGCTTATCTCTGTGAGAGAACTCTGACTCATGTTTTACTTTATCTTGATGATTCGCTCCTCGTGCACAACCTGACTGGAACGTATGTTCACCCTGACGGTGCCCGTCGAGCATGTAGCAATACGGCAGCGAGTGATTGCGCCGGAATTTCAAGGTAAACAGGGAGAGATAGATGGAGAGCAATGAAGAGATACAAAAAGTGTACTTTAAAACGAGCGACGGCGTGTTTTCCTCGTCCCGTCAATCAACCTTGAAACAAAAAAAAAAGCGACTGATGCAGCTTTCGAAGAGGGATGCAAAGAGAAAAAAAAAAACAAGAAATGACAATTAAGATGATTGCCACATTTTGCGTTGTGCGACGAATCGGCTTGCGGAGCACCTGGCGAGTGTGCGGGATCTGTGGCTTAAAACAGCTACAGGTCATCATTTGAGGACCTCGTGGCAATCGCGTCAGTAGTGTTTTTCACTCGGTGCCCGCCTGGCAACAATGCGTTAATACGCGCGGTGAATTCTCGTCTTAACCTTCCTCTCCTAGGTTTGTATCTTTTGTTTTCGTCATTTCACGAACGTTGGTTTTCGCACAAAACATTTCGAGACCTCGTTTTGTGAAGAACCAACCTCGGAGCTTCGATGCACGGGGATTATATTGGAGGTGTCCTCGGGCGCTCATGAGCGGCTCATGATTACCCTTTGGTGGGCAGCCTTTGTCTCAAAGCTTATGTATGTAACTCGATACTTAACTGCTCTTATATTAGTACGTTTCATAGACGCCGCTGAAGATATTCTCGCTATGGTCGTTATGCAAGTATGGGCTTGCGCAGAATGGTCCGTGAAGGGGAGGGCTGATTTTCTCCACAGCACCATCCCACTCCTCGTTTGCGCTTCTTGACCCTTTCCCATGTGGGAGGTGTGGTAACTTGACAAAAATCAATGTAGCGTTGGTGGCGGCTAGGGTGGTGATGATTATGATGATAATCGTGATAGGTACCTTTCTCATCAGGTTAGGACTCCACTGAAGTTCAAGTTGAAAACATACCACTACGGCTCAAGCCCATGTTGGGCGATTGTCCCAGAAACGAGTAGTCCAACAAAAATTGGCATAACTGAATTGTATGACCTGTGAAGCATATTTAAACTATATAAGTTAGTAACGGTTGCCTAAGATTTTCGATCAGAGTCATCTTGATTAAATTGAAAATTTTTCAACAGTGTAGCAAACATCCTCATGACAGTGTGCTAATGAGGAGGCTCCCAAATACAATGTATCAGGTAGCTAGATGATTAGATAGCCACGATGATGCTCCTGAGATAATTGGCCAAGTGTCCGGCGGAACCAAAACTTCCTTGAAGAGAACACGTGGTCTTTTTTTTTTCCGAGTCCTACTAGAACTTACGGCGTCAATTAGAAATAATAGTTACATGACTCCAAATTTTAGACTACTAAATGTATCCAATCCTACTTCATCAGCATCATCATCAGCCTGACTACGTCCACTGCAGGACAAAGGCCTCTCCCATGTTCCGCCAGTTAACCTGGTCCTGTGCTTGCTGCTGCCAATTTATACCCGCAAACTTTTTAATCTCATCTGCCCACCTAACCTTCTGTCTCCCCCTAACCCGCTTGCCTTCTCTGGGAATCCAGTTAGTTACCATTAACGACCAGCGGTTATCCTGTCTACGCGCTACATGCCCGGCCCATGTCCATTTCTTCTTTTTGATTTCAGCTATAATATACTTAACCCCTGTTTGTTCCCTAATCCACTCTGCTCTCTTCTTTTGTCTCTTAAGGTTACACCTACCATTTTTCTTTCCATTGCTCGCTGCGTCGTCCTCAATTTAAGCTCAACCCTCTTTGTAATTGGATTGGATAAACTTTTATTTGGTCCTCCAAAACATAGATCACTGTGTTGCGGGAAGCTCCCACGTGGGGACTGAGATGCCAAGCTCCTCAGCCGCCTCGCGGGCTTGGTGGACAGCCCAGAGCTGATCTGCCAAGGACGAGCTGCGGATTGCCGCCTCCCATCTGGCAGAGGTGATGTTCGATAAATGAGCGAATTTTGTGCACTGACAGACCATGTGTTCTAATGGAGCTATTTCCCCACAATGTGGACAAAGATTACTTGGGTATAGGTCAGGGTACATGATGTGTAACATTTTCAAAGTAGGGTACATCCGCGTTTGCAAAAGTCTTTATGTAAGTGCTTGGGGCCGGGTTAGATTTTTGTGAGGTGGAGGGAAAATCCTTCTAGACAGGTAGAAATGTTTAGTGAGCTCGCTATATATTGTAAGAATTTCCCGGTTATCCCCTTCACCGGTAGAACGCATCCCCGGGGAGGCGCGGTTGGAGCGTTCTCGCGCGTCCTCGTGTGCTGCTTCAATGAGATTGGGAGGGGAATCGTTGATTTGCCCAAGGTGAGCTGGGAACCAACTCAGAAGATGATGCGTTATGTTCTTGCCTTGCAGTATTCTCAGCGTTTGTTCAGAGACTGTCCCCTTGGCGAACGCCCGTAGTGCTGCCATGGAATCCCTGTAGACGACTTCAATGTTATCCATCTTGAGTGCTAAGGCGATGGCCACCTGTTCCGCAATGATTGGGTCTTTCATCCTGACCGTCACTGAGTTGACGACATGGCCAGCCCCATCGAACACCACTGCCACAAACGCTTTCCCATTTGCGTAGGAAGCCGCGTCAACAAATACGACCCCTCGTTCCTCGTTTGAGACTTGACGAAGTATAGTCCTGGCCCTCGCTACTCTTCTTCCGACGTTGTGTTCTGGATGCATGTTTCTTGGTATAGGAGACACAGTGATATTCTCCCTGATGTTGTCGGGGATATCATTGTAATCGCGTCTGATTGCCATTGGGTGTTGGCCCAGCTTCTGCAGGATCATTCTCCCCGACCTTGTTGTAGATAACCTTGCAAACTGTGCTTTCTCTTGGGCTTCTGCTATTTCTTCGAGCGTATTGTGAATGCCAAGCTCAAGCAGACGCTCGGTGCTGGTATGTATGGGTAGGCCAAGGACCTTCTTGATAACTTTCCTGAGGAGCACATTCAGTGTCTCGGACTCTGCCCTTGACCAGTAGTGCGTTGCAGCCTCGTACGTGAAGGGGCTTAGAACAAACACATGCATCAACCTGATGAGGTTGTCTTCCTTGATCCCATTTCTTTTGTTGGCCACTCTGCGTATGAGGTGCACCGCACTGTCTGTTTTCCAAGTTAACTTGGCTATAGGTTTGCTGTTGGCGCCGGTAGACTCTATCAGCATGCCCAGGACTTTGATGGAGTCGACCCTCTGGATGGCATCCCTTTGATTTGTATGGAGGTGGATGTCTATCTGGTTTAACGGCTTCCATCCCCTGGGCTTCGGTCCCCGGCGTGCAGTCCGATACAGTAAAAGTTCTGACTTACTCTAGGAGCAATTAAGCCCAGAAGGACGTAGGTACTCTCCTACGGTGTCAATCGCCTCTTGCAGGGCGCTCTCAATCTGCCCCTCGCTTCCACCTGTGCACCAGATGGTAATGTCATCTGCGTAGATGCTGTGCTTCAATCCTTCAATGCTCGATAATTTCTTTGACAGTCCAATCATGGCAATGTTGAACAGCATTGGTGAAATCACTGCCCCCTGCGGCGTGCCCCTTGCTTCTAGTTCGATTGCTGCGGTCTCGATATCTGCAATCTTCATCACGGCTTTCCGATCTGTAAGAAAGGACCATACGTAGTCATAGAAGGCTTTCCCTAGACCGAGTTTGGAAATTGCTTCGAGTATGAATGAGTGGTGGATGTTGTCAAACGCTTTTTCTAGATCTAGGCACAGAATGGCTCTCACGTCTCTGGTTTCATTGTCGATGACCTGGTGTTTGATAAGCTTCAATGCATCTTGTGTGGACAGCCCTGCCCTGAATCCAACCATATTGTGTGTATATATGTCGTTATCTTCCAAGTACTTCTTTACCCTGTGCAGTATGGCATGTTCTGCAATCTTGCCGATACATGATGTCAAGGATATTGGCCTCATGTTGTCTAAGGTAGGGGGCTTTCCTGGCTTAGGAATAAGGATCGTCCTGGCTAGCTTCCACTGCTCTGGCACCCTGCCTTCTTTCCATGCTGCATTGATCATATCCTTCAGGGTTTCAATTGAATCGTCATCAAGGTTACGAAGGGCCTTGTTTGATATACCGTCCGGGCCAGGGGCCGACCTGCCGTTGAGATCGTGCAAGGCTCTTCTGATCTCCTCGATGTTAAAGTCGCCCTCAAGACCTGGATTGGGCCTGCCCTGGTACTGTCTACTTGGTGGTGCCAATCCTCTTTTGATTGGAACCCTCTTTGTAAGTCTCCAGGTTTCTGCTCCGTAGCTAAGTGCCGGCAAGGTACAGCTGTTATATACCTTCCTCTTGAGGGATAGTGGCAATCCACATGTCATAATTTGAGAGTGCTTGCCAAATGTGCTCCACCCAATTCTTATTCTTCTAGTTACTTCAATTTCGTGGTTCGGCTCCGCGGTTATTACCTGCCCTAAGTAGACATAGTCTTTTACAACTTGATGTGCACTATTACCAATCTCGAAGCGCTGCTCTTTTCCGAGGTTGTTGTACATTACTTTCGTTTTCTGCAGATTAACTTTAAGACCCACCTTTCTGCTCTCCTTGTCTAACTCCGTAATCATGAGTTGCAATTCGTCCCCTGAGTTACTCAGCAATGCAATGTCATCGGCGAAGCCCAGGTTATTAAGGTACTCTCCATTAACTGTTATCCCTAAATGTAACAATTACGTCAAATTGTTCTAATCCTACTTCATCCAATGTTAAATCTTTTTTGTTTCTTCCCCGCTAGCCGGAGGGCCTCCCGATCGACCAGCCCGCCGATCCCGTGCAACAGATACGCCTCCGGCCGTCGGCGTCGGCGCACCGTGAGCGACACCACGCCGCGTCCCGTGCCGCTTCACCACCAGAGTCGGCCGTCGTGCCCGGCGCCCGCCGACCCGTTCCGCTTCCGCGAGATGGACGCGCTCACCGACATGGGCGTCGCGTACGCTCGTCAGGTGCGAAACGTGCGCCGCGCCGTGCTGGCCGACACCGGAGCCCTGCGCCAGTTCACGAGCCCCGGCCGCAAGGCCGTCGAGGAAGTAGAAGAGGGCCTGTTCCAGGTGCAGAGGATGCACAGTCATCTCGTGGCCAGGGCCAACAACCTGGTGTACAGGTACGATGTGCACACATGTCGCACCACTAGAGAATTTCAGTCATGGGGCCGCAAAGCGGCGTACGTGCGTTTGCCTTTGTGTTAGGACCTGTACACACGCGCTATCCACACAGCTGCATTGCACGGGACGGAACACCTGCCGCGCACGCAAGCGGCACATAGATAGATAGATAGATAGATAGATAGATAGATAGATAGATAGATATAGATAGATAGATAGATAGATAGATAGATAGATAGATAGACAGAAGACAGACAGACAGCAGACAGACAGACAGATAGATAATAGATAGATAGATAGATAGATAGATAGATAGATAGATAGATAGATAGATAGATAGATAGATAGACAGACAGACAGACACAGACAGACAGACAGACAGACAGACAGACAGACAGACAGACAGACAGACAGACAGACAGACAGACAGACAGACAGACCACAGACAGACAGACAGACAGACCAGACAGACAGACAGACAGACAGACAGACAGACAGACAGACAGACAGACAGACAGACGACAGACAGACAGACAGACAGACAGGACAGACAGACAGACAGACGACAGACAGACAGACAGACAGACAGACAGACAGCAGACAGACAGACAGACAGACAGACAGACAGACAGACAGACAACAGACAGACAGACAGACAGACAGACAGACAGACAGACGACAGACAGACACAGACAGACAGACAGACAGAGACAGACAGACAGACAGACAGACAGACAGACAGACAGACAGACAGACCTTCCTCTCCTAGGTTTGTATCTTTTGTTTTCGTCATTTCACGAACGTTGGTTTTCGCACAAAACATTTTGAGACCTCGTTTTGTGAACTAACGGCCTCGGAGCTTCGATGCATGGGGATTATATTGGAGGTGTCCTCAGGCGCTCATGAGCGGCTCATGATTAACCTTTGGTGGGCAGCCTTTGTCTCGAAGCTTATGTATGCAACTCGATACTTAACTGCTCTTAGTACGTTTCATAGACGCTGTTGAAGATATTCCCGCTATGGTCGTTAAGCAAGCATGGGCTTGCGCAGAATTGTCCGTGAAGGGGAGGGCTGATTTTCTCCACACCACCAGCCCCCTGCTCGCTCGCGCTTATCGACCCCTTCCCATGTGGGAGGTGTGGTAACTTGGCAAAAATCAATATTGCGTTGGTGGCGGCTTGGGTGGTGATGATGATGATGATAATCGTGATAGGTACGTTCCTCATCAGGTTAGGACTCCACCGAAGTTCAAGTTGAAAACATACCATTATGGCTCAAGCCCATGTTGGGCGATTGACACGGAAACGAGTAGTCCAACTAAAATTGGCATAAATGAATTGTATGACCTGTGAAGCATATTACAATAAACTATATAAGTTAGTAACTGTTGCCTAAGATTTTCGATCAGAGTCATCTTGATTCAATTGAAAATTTTTCAACAGTGTAGCAAGCATCCTCATGACAGTGTGCTAATGAGGAGGCTCCCAAATACAATGTATCAGGTAGCTAGATGATTAGATAGCCACGATGATGCTCCTGAGATGATTGGCCAAGTTTCTGGCGGAACCAAAACTTCCTTCAGCAGAACACGTGGTCTTAGTTTTTTTTTCTTCGAGTCCTACTGGAACTTACGGCGTCAATTAGAGAGAATAGTTGCATGACTCCAAATTTTAGAATACTAAATTGATCCAATCCTACTTCTTCTTCTTCTTCTTCATCATCATCATCATCATCATCATCATCATCATCATCATCATCAGCCTGACTACGTCCACTGCAGGACAAAGGCCTCTCCCATGTTCCGCCAGTTAACCCGGTCATGTGCTTGCTGCTGCCAATTTATGCCCGCAAACTTCTCAATCTCATCTGCCCACCTAACCTTCTGTCTCCCCCTAACCCGCTTGCCTTCTCTTAGAATCCAGTTAGTTACCCTTAACGACCAGCGGTTATCCTATCTACGCGCTACATGCCCGACCCATGTCCATTTCTTCTTCTTGATTTCAGCTATGATATCCTTAACCCCCGTTTGTTCCCTAATACACTCTGCTCTCTTCTTGTCTCTTAAGGTTAGACCTACCATTTTTTTTTCCGTTGCTCGCTGCGTCGTCCTCAATTTAAGCTGAACCCTCTTTGCAAGTCTCCAGGTTTCTGCTCCGTAGGTAAGTACCGGCAAGATACAGCTGTTATATACCTTCCTCTTGAGGGATAGTCGCCATCTACCTGTCATAATTTGAGAGTGCTTGCCAAATGTGCTCCACCCCATTCTTATTCTCCTAGTTACTTCAATCTCGTGGTTCGGCTCTGCGGTTATTACCTGCCCTAAGTAGGCGTAGTCTTTTACAACTTGAAGTGCACTATTACCTATCTCGAAGCGTTGCTCTTTTCCGAGGTTGTTGTACATTACTTTCGTACATTACAATTACTTCAAATTTGTCCCGCCGCGGTGGTCTAGTGGCTAAGGTACTCGGCTGCTGACCCGCAGGGCGCGGATTCGAATCTCGGCTGCGGTGGCTGCATTTCCGATGGAGGCGGAAATGTTGTAGGCCCGTGTGCTCAGATTTGGGTGCACGTTAAAGAACCCCAGGTGGTCTAAATTTCCGGAGCCCTTCACTACGGCGTCTCTCATAATCATATAGTGGTTTTGGGACGTTAAACCCCACATATCAATCAATTACTTCAAATTGTTCTAACCCTACTTCATCCAATGTTAAATCTTTTTTGTTTCTTCCCCGCTAGCCGGAGGGCTCTTGATCGACCAGCCCGCCGACCCCGTGCACCTGATACGCCTCCTGCCGTCGGCGTCGGCGTCGCCGTGAGCGACACCACGCGGCGTCCCGTGCCGCTTCACCACCAGAGTCGGCCGTCGTGCCCGGCGCCCGCCGACCCGTTCCGCTTCCGCGAGATGGACGCGCTCACCGAGATGGGCGTCGCGTACGCTCGTCAGGTGCGGAACGTGCGCCGCGCCGTGCTGGCCGACACCGGTGCCCTGCGCCAGTTCACGAGCCCCGGTCGCAAGGCCGTCGAGGAAGTGGAAGAAGGCCTGTTCCAGGTGCAGAGGATGCACAGTCATCTCGTGGCCAGGGCCAACAACCTGGTGTACAGGTATGATGTGCGCACATGTCGCACCTAGATGATAGATAGATAGATAGATAGATAGATAGATGATAGATAGATAGATGATAGATAGATAGATAGATGATAGATAGATAGATGATAGATAGATAGATGATAGATAGATAGATAGATAGATGATAGATAGATAGATGATAGATAGATAGATGATAGATAGATAGATAGATGATAGATAGATAGATGATAGATAGATAGATAGATAGATAGATGATGATGGATGATAGATGATAGATAGATAGATGATAGATAGATAGATAGATGATAGATAGATAGATAGATGATAGATAGATAGATGATAGATAGATAGATGATAGATAGATAGATGATAGATAGATAGATAGATGATAGATAGATAGATGATAGATAGATAGATAGATGATAGATAGATAGATGATAGATAGATAGATAGATGATAGATAGATAGATGATAGATAGATAGATGATAGATAGATAGATAGATAGATAGATAGATAGATAGATAGATAGATAGATAGATAGATAGATAGATAGTAGATAGATAGATAGATAGTAGATAGATAGATAGATAGATAGATAGATAGATAGATAGATGATAGATAGATAGATAGATAGATAGATAGATAGATAGATAGATAGATAGATAGATAGATAGATAGATAGTAGATAGATAGATAGATAGATAGATAGTAGATAGATAGATAGATAGATAGATAGATAGATGATAGATAGATAGATAGATAGATAATTACGTCAGGTACGTACACGCCAACCCCCATTTCTTCCCGACAGGGCAAGACCTTCACTTTTTTTTTAAACTGATCCTGAGGTTTTCACCTACCGTTTTAAACGTTTCACCTTTGTTATGGAGCCTGTCGTACCGTGTATGATGAACTTAATTGCCATATTACATATTTACACGACATGTACACGCTGGAATCATTTGCAGGTTACAAGACGTCTTGCTTCAGGAAGAGTCAAACAGACTGAGAAAACAGATGCATTGGATCGCAACATTGCCAGGTAAGTAGAAAACACAATTAAAACAGTGATCCCGCTTTCTTTTTAGTACGGCTGGCAAGGGCTTCCGTTACATACTAGTAAAATGTCGCATCAGTAATGTGTCAATCACCATGACGTAACTAGACTAAATGCTCGCAGCTGAAAAAAAAAAGCATAGCCTGGCCCCAACATTTGTTTTTGAATACGCCAATCACTTGTGAATAGGTTCTTTAATAAAAAAAAGGGGGGGGATCTAAAGGGGCCTCTCATCTGTTTGCGTAAGGGGACCGGCAGGCGAAATCTATATTCTTATTTTTATTCTTACTCGATTGTGTTGATACACTACCCTTTCCACCACCAATATGCTGACGTCATCGTATTGGTATGTTGAAGTGATCGCATACGCGATAGTGATTTTTCGCATCATTCGTGTTGACGCCGACGGCCAATTTGCGCGTCTAATAAAGACACCTAGGCCAGTATTCCCAAATACTCCTCTAGTTTATTATATCTTTGAGCTCGAGTTTCGAACGTGTCGAGGATGTTTCCTCCTCAGCTTTACCTCGAGTTTTTCTTATCGGGGGTTAACTCGACGTACGAAGTAGGCCAGTATATGAACCAACCTTATTGTAATCTTTTACCTCGTTACCATTTTTGTGTCTTTATAACGTATGGAGAGGGCACATAAACTTGATGTGCTTGAGGAAAACTAGAGGTAATGCCAAGGCTGTTGAGTGGATACGGGCCCTAAGGCCTCCGCGTTAAAAGAGAAACGTGGATGAAAACGTACTTTTTTTAGAGAACGTACAAAAAAAATATCACTCAAATGTACAGTTCCGAATCGTGACGGTATCGCGAACGGTTGCACAAAAAATTATTCGTAATGTAACGAGGGCAGTGGGCATGGAGCTCGAATATAGAAAAGGAAGAAGACTTGCTGTGATCGCAGGCTTGCGTTCAGTTAGCCCTTGCGCTCAATAAAGCTTTCGTTCGCCGAGTCAACTCCTGCTGGTTCAACACCCCGTTTCAAGTGGTGGAAGTGCTGGGATACATCTGGTCCTCACCCTGGAGCTTCGTAGCCGCACACTCCAACCACCTTCTGCGATGACTGATCCGGGACCGTCTCAGGCCGCCACTCCAGCTCTCGCACCCATACCTGTCTTCTGCGCTGGCGCTGTCCGGCAGCGCGACCCCCCAATATTTGGTGGCACAGAGGACCAAGATGTGGACAACTGGATTGCCGAGTATGAACTGGTGAGCGCGTACAGTAAGTGGAACGCAGCCGATAAGCTCACAAATGTGAATTTTTACCTGACCGACGTGGCGAAACTATGGTACAGAAATCATCGAAGTGATTTCAGTACGTGGTCAGAATTGGCAAAAACCCTCTCGGAAGTCTTTGGACGTCCTGCTGTCCGCCGCCTTCGTGCTGAACAGCGCTTGCGTGGCAGAGTACAGAGAACAGATGAGACTTTCACGAGCTACATCGAAGATGTGCTCTTCCTCTGCCAGCTCATCAACCCGACTCTGGATGAGGCAGGCAAGATAAGAAACATAATTAAAGGAATCGACGATGGTGCATTCCAAATGCTTGCTGCGAAGTGTCCCCAGACAGTCGCCGAGGTGATTCAGCTCTGCCAAAGTTATGATGAGCTGCGTAGGCAACGTGCTTCCACACGTTGCGCTGCTCAAGACACCGCGGACCTTTCATCCCTCGACTATCGCCATGACACTGCCGACCACTCTGCTTTAATGCCACTCATAAAGCAATTCATACGCGAGGAGGTCGCCAGGCAGCTATCTATAATCACCAGAACTACCGAGCCGATGGCGCCCTTATCGCCTTCGCTTCGTCAGGTCATTGAATCGCAAGTTGCCGAAGCATTGCCGCCAGCTCCGGCTCCACCATCTGTTACCGCACCACTAACATATGCAGCCGCTGTTGCTCGGCCACGCTCTCCATCGTCTCCGGCTATCTACGAAGCAACTCGCCACGTTTATTCGTCGACGCCACCTGCCCACCCGTTGACTGTCCCGTCTCCGGCTGTATACGAAACAACTCGGAACGTTTATATGAAGCCGCCGCCTGCACGACCGTTTCCGGTACCTTATTCGGCGACAAGTGCCCCTACCGTCAGCCAATGGCGCACTCCGGATAATCGGCCAATATGTTTTTCATGTGGCATCCCAGGCCACATAGCTCGTCACTGCCGCCGTCGCAGCTTCCCTTCTCATGACATTGCAGGGGCCTCACACTACATGCCCATTCAGCCGCGATATCCCGTTCCTGCCGATCCACCTCTAGACGTACGTACCGGTCGCCGCCCATCCGGCTCAAGCCGTTCGCCTTCTCCTCGTCGCAGATCCATTTCTCCAATGTTACGTCGCAACAGCCCACCGCGAGTGGAAAACTGACGGGCGCAGTTCCGGAGGCAAGAACTGCGTTGGCAGCGAAAATTTCAAGACCTAACTGCTGTCCCCCGAACGAAATCGAACTCTATATTGATGGCATAAAGGTGCACGGACTTGTTGACACTGGAGCTGCCGTATCTGTAATTAGCGAGAAACTGTGCCGAAACTTGAAGACAGTGACCACGCCACTTACCGACCTATCTTTGCAGACAGCTACGTCCCATCATATTCAGCCTTCAGCTTTGTGCACTGCACGAGTCGTCGTTCAAGGTGCGATGTACGTCGTCTCATTTGTAGTTTTATTCCGTTCTTCGCATGACGTTATCCTTGGATGGGACTTTCTTTCGTCAAATTCTCCTTTGGTCGACTGTGCTCGTTCCGAACTCGCATTATCTGTGCCGTGCTATGACCCCGACGATGGCGCTTCGTGTAGAGTGTTTGCTGCTTCTGACGTTGACATTGCGCCTTTCTCAGCTGTTGTTGTCTCGGTGTCGTGTGCCTCCCCCCCCCCCCCGAAATCGCCTGTGTTGTTTATGCCATCGGTCCCATCTGCGTGCCGTCGAAATATCATGCTTCCGTTTGCCGTCGTCATTTTTCGCAATGGTCACGCTGCCATTTATGTGTGCAATCCCTCGGACAGCCCGTCATCCTTACTACGTGGAGAATGCCTGGGAAGCTACGAACCTTGCGAGTGCATTCTTCCGGCTACTATACCCGATTCAACGGTTTCACTCCCAATTTGTGCTGTCACTCCTACCAACGCGCCTAATGATGCTCTGGACGTATTCTCAGATGCCATCGACTCTGAGCTCGCACCAACTCAGCGCGAAGAGATTATAAATCTTCTTCTCCGCTTTCGTTCTTCATTCGATCGTGACCAGTCAGGCTTAAGCCGAACCTCTGCGGTCGTTCACCGTATTGACACCGGTCAACAAGCCCCACTAAGGCAGCGTCCGTACCGTGTGTCATCTGCTGAACGCCGTGTCATCGACGAACAAGTGGACGACATGTTGAAACGTGGCATCATCGAGCCCTCCAACAGTCCCTGGGCTTCACCGGTTGTTCTCGTCAAGAAAAAAGACGGATCCATCCGGTTCTGCGTTGACTACCGCCGACTCAACAAGATAACACGCAAAGACGTATACCCTCTGCCGCGCATCAATGATGCTTTGGACTGCCTACAAGGAGCAGAGTTCTTTTCTTCGTTAGATTTACGCTCCGGCTACTGGCAGGTGCCCACGGCAGAGGGTGACCGCCCGAAGACAGCCTTTGTAACACCGGATGGACTATATGAATTCACCGTTATGCCCTTTGGCCTCTGCAATGCGCCTGCCACTTTCGAAAGAATGATGGATACCGTCTTGCGAGGTATAAAATGGAAAACGTGCCTCTGATATTTAGACGACATTGTGGTATTTTCAAGCGACTTTGCGACCCACCTCAGCCGCCTCGAGCAAGTTCTTACGTGCCTTTCAACGGCGAGACTTCAACTTAACTTGAAGAAATGCCACTTCGGCGCTCGCAAGCTTGTAATTCTCGGCCATGTGGTTTCTAAGGACGGCATTCTCCCGGACCCTACGAAACTTAATGCAGTCGCGGCGTTCCCAAAGCCAACCACCGTCAAAGAGCTTCGAAGCTTCATCGGCCTATGTTCTTACTTCCGGCGATATATGTCCGCAATTTCGCCTCCATTATCGCCCCCTTGACCAATATTCTTGCCGGAAGGTCTGATTTGTCAGCGTGGTCGCAGGCGTGTGATGATGCATTTCAGGAACTCCGACGGCTTCTCACCACGCCTCCCATACTCCGACATTTCGATCCATCTGCTCCAACGGAGCTTCATACAGACGCTAGTGGTGTTGGGCTAGGGGCCATACTGGCCCAACGCAAGGATGGCTTTGACGAGTACGTCGTTGCCTATGCCAGCCGCACCCTCAGTAAAGCCGAGAAGAATTACAGTGTAACTGAAAAGGAGTGCCTTGCCATTATTTGGGCAATTGGAAAATTTCGGCCTTATTTATATGGACGTCCGTTTGATATTGTGACAGACCACCATGCGCTTTGCTGGTTATCTTCACTAAAAGATCCTAATGGTCGGCTCGCTCGTTGGGCATTGCGGTTACAGGAGTTTGATATCCGTGTTGTCTACCGTTCTGGCCGTAAGCATTCCGACGCCGATGCCCTGTCACGTTCGCCATTGGCTTCAGAACCTGTCAGCTCGCCTATCTCCACCAGTGCTGCCTTGGCCATCAGCATTTCGGACATGCCTTCCGAGCAACGCAAAGATGCTTGGATTTCTTCTCTTTTGTACTTGCTCTCAAACCGGACGCCCGCTCCAGTTTCCAGGACGCTTCGCCGTCAAGCAGGACACTTCGCTATTCGGGATAACCTGCTTTACCGCCGAAACTACAGTTCGATGGGTCGTAAGTGGTTGCTCGTCATTCCCCGACATCTGCGCACTGACATCTGTGCCACGTTCCACGATGATCCGCAATGTGGCCACGCTGGTGTGTTAAAAACATACACTCGCTTGCAGCTGCGGTACTACTGGCGCGGTATGTTCCGTTTCGTTCGCCGTTACGTAAGGTCTTGCCTTACGTGCCAGCGACGCAAAATGCCCACTCAGCATGCCACAGGTCCCTTGCAGCCGTTGCCATGTCCAGCACGAGCTTTCGATCGTGTCGGAATCGACCTTTACGGTCCGCTTCCCTATACTTCGAGTAGCAACCGCTGGGTCATTGTCGCTATCGACCACCTAACGCGGTACGCTGAAACAGCTGCGTTACCTTCTGCTACCGCAAAAGACGTTGCGTGTTTTATACTGCAAAACCTGGTTTTAAGGCATGGAGCACCTCGAGAGTTACTAAGCGACCGCGGCCGCGTTTTTCTCTCCGATGCTATCAAAGCGTTGTTGAGCGAGTGTCGCGTCATACACCGCACTACCACAGCCTATCATCCGCAAACTAATGGGATGACAGAGCGTTTTAATCTTACACTTGGGGATATGCTGGCCAAGTACGCTTCATCCGACCAGTCAAATTGGGATAGCATACTGCCTTTTGTGACATATGCTTACAACACTGCAACGCAAAGCACCACTGGATTTTCGCCTTTCTTTCTTCTTTATGGACGCGAGCCATCATCAACAATGGATACTATTCTTCCTTATCGACCGGACCCTTCAGAGATGACTACCGTTTCTCGAGCAGCAGCACACGCTGAAGAATGTCGGAAGCTTGCTCGTGCGTTCACGTCACATGACCAGACGCGCCAAAAACATCGCCACGACGCATCAGCCACGCCTATGAGCTTTGCACCGAACTCACTGGTGTTGTTATGGATTCCTTCTACTCCTCCAGGACTCTCCCACAAGCTTTCGTTCAGGTACCATGGCCCTTATCGAGTTATACGCCAAGCATCCCCTGTCAACTACCTGGTCGAGCCGCTGGATGCATCTCCGGACAAGCGCCGTCGGGGACAAGAAATTGTACACATTTCTCGGCTCAAGCCATACCATGACCCTTCTGTGTACACCTGTCCTTAGGTCGCCAGGATGGCTCCCTCATCGCCCGGGGGTGATTGTAACGAGGGCAGTGGGCATGGAGCTCGAATATAGAAAAGGAAGAAGACTTGCTGTGATCGCAGGCTTGCGTTCAGTTAGCCCTTGCGCTCAATAAAGCTTTCGTTCGCCGAGTCAACTCCTGCTGGTTCAACACCCCGTTTCAGTAATAACAACTTGTGAACGAAATTACGCCGTTTGACGTATGATCCGTATGAATACTTCAGACGATGACCTCAAATACAAAGAAAAAAGAAACTGTGTGGGAACATGGAGGAGGAAAGAAGGAGAAAGGACATGGAGGTTAAATTTGTGCAGGGCAATTTTAATTGCAATTTCGCATATGAGATTATTAATCTTTCGTAATTAAAATTACTTATTTATTCATGCTTTTCTGCGCTTTTAGTCGATGTAACATGTAACAATTAGTCGATGTAACATGTAACAATATTTTTGGTTCAAATAACCCGCGAAAGCCTTGCCTCAGAGATTTGTTTTGTTGCATTGAATCACTGGTATCAGAGTGTTTCATGAAACATCGCCTCCGTATTGTTGTACATCGGTCACTGCTGACATCACCAATAACAGATTTCAAATTAATATCAAATTATCACAGCCCCCTTCCACCAAATACCAACAGGGCATTCGATATGCCTGCTTCCGAAACGTTGTCTGCTTTCATATTAAAATGATTTCCAACCGTTTGGATATGCATTATGCCTGTCCACTTTGTGATAAAGTCGTGTCTGCCAGAGGACGCCACTTTTTTAATTTAGGGTCACAGTGTACCGCAACTTGTTAGGGCAACGCCAACTTCACATTTTGCCACCACTGTTTGCGCAAACAAAACTCACCGCGCGACAACGGCACGTTCTGAAATTGTTTGTGCTCTCGTCATATGGATTGTAACAACAGAATGTAGCGCCGCCGTGGCGAACTGTGAATTTTAGTTTCCGTGCAGTTCTCGGAAACCGATTAGGCACGTGCGCACTATTGGAGGGAGCATAATGTCGCAGCGGTTCTGCGCGAGCGCGCGTGTTTACCTGCGACGGCTGACGAAGAACGTGTTCGTATTTTAATTTTTCGTTGGAACCGCCGCGAAGTCCGAAGCGGACTCCCGACAAGCATGAACCTCCAGGACTTGATGTCGAGCAGTCTACTGCTGGGTTTCCTCACCTTGGATCAGATCAACGAGTTAATGCTGCTTCTCATGGCGCGCGAGGATCAGGAGACGACCGCGTCGAGCTCCGACGAGCCGTCCTCGTCGTCGAGTCCGCCTCGACCCCAGGGATGGCGTCCCACGATGAGCGTGAATGACATCCTGTCCGATCCGCTGCTTATGTCGATCATGACGACCCGTCAGATCACCGACCTCATGTATATGAGGCTTCTGCAAAGCATGGGACTAGACGACGGGAACAGCAGCAGCAGTAGTAGTAGTAGCAGCAATGCTTCGAGAATACGACGCGAAGAAGCCCAAAGGCGGAGGCTGGTGCGACGTCGGCCGCTGAGAAGCAGGCATTCGATCGTTGCGTAAGCAAAAACTTTTTAAACTTCGGATTTCGCGTGTCAAAGAGCGTTGCACTAGCGACGGGTTGCCTGCGTGTCTGTTTCATTGTCCTTGTCTTGGTGCGCTTGCAAGTCTCAATAGCACAGGTAACGAATTGATTTCGACGATTCGTGGCTGTATGACGTGAACTTAGATCACAGTGGACTATAGTGTTGCATTTTGCGCCGCTGTAAGTGTGGCCGCGGTACTTGTCAGGCGAACCGACGCCCTCACGCTAAGCAACGCAATGCCTTAGCCACTAAGGTCAGCTGCTGAGGTATTGAGTAAGCATTAGTTCACGATCAGTTAAATTGACCTGTTTCGTTGCTTTGTTTCCAACGTACGGCCATCCTTCCACTTGTACGATGATCAGCGTGGCCGACGAAGTGTAATCACGTGTGCGCTAAATGTCGTGCTTTTGACGCGCAGCATGCGATCGTCCAGGTTTAACTGTTTTGCATCGAATCTTTCCAGCGAATAGTAGTTCGTGGGACACACACATACCAAACTTCACGTGGCGCCATTTTTCCTGATGGGGCAAGGTCTCCCGAATTTTTTATGCCTATACTGTCCCCTTACGGATCAAGCTCATCATGCATTTGCAATATTTTTGTGTTTATTTCTGTGCCAGCTGACACTTTCAAATATTCAAAGTCATGCATATGTACGTGGAGTGGCCATCCAGTACGATGAACAAATCGAATTAAATTTCGTATTTGAAGTTGCAGATTGGTCACGCACCCCTACAGCTTCTGACTCCGTTATAATTTTCTTCCTCCATGTAGCCGAAAAGCAGACATCCCAGGTACGGGATCGGGAACACGATCTGATAGTGAGGATAGTACGGATAGTGAACAAGAGGGACGCGATCTTGGCCGAGCACCATGTGGAGCAGCGAAGGTGAGTTATTGACCTCCAGGTTGGCTTTACTCTATAGAGCACCGAGTGACATCGGCACGTACTAAAGTTGTCTCTGCTACCGCAACACATAATGTGTTGCTACAGGCATCATGTACAGATATCATGTCGGGCAAGGAATCATAATAACAGATGTAATGCAGTGCGGTAGAATACAAATGACAACCAGGCATCTCACAACGCATATTGTGTTACGGGTAAGTGCTTAAAAGGTTACGACCCAAAGGGCTCGGCCACGCTTCTTTGTCATCAGCCACAGCATTAGCAATGTGCACATAATGCCTTGACAGACGCTCGGTGGGCTCCTGGCTTCTACGTAGAATTATGAATAATTACTTAGCGGGTACTTTCTTATTTCACAGAATAATGGTGTAGTGGGTACTATTGTACTTGCATTAGTGGCCCGGGAGTGTTACGGGCCACTCTCCCGGGAGTGGCCCCGAAGAGTTTGTTACGCCCTTAATAAAGGCCATAACAAACTGTCCCGGTGTACCGCGTCTCCAGGTTTCGATGTGGCTGTGTTGGGTGTTCGACGCAGGCCTAGAGTTTTTTCTTTTAGAAAGCCGGTGGATCACGGCTGCAGACAAAGCACCCTGACGGCAGCCGAGTAAACAGTGGTGCTAGTGAATAGTGCAGCTACAGTCAACTCGCGCTATCTACTGTGATTAGCCTGCGTACCCATTAACCACTGTGGACAGTTGCACACACAGCTATGCACCCATTGCAGAAACTATTATGATTTCGGGGATGCATTGCGGTCGGAGCACTGGACGTGATGATAACACTTCTGTGTTCTCCCGTGGCATTGAAATGAAGAGTTTGACTACTGCCGAGCAGTGCGCACAACTCGCAAAAGCAAGTGATGCGGGCTTTTGTTTTGCTTCTAGGCGCAGTCGTAGTAGGAATGTAAACCAACAACCTTTCCGTGGGACTTCATAGGGCCTACTTTTGCAGCAAAAATCCAAGATTTCGCACAAGTGTATAGAGAAAGCATGTAATTAATCACTAATTGTTGCATTGGCTTGTTACTCAAAGCGCTTCAGCGCAATCAGCAAAGGATCCTTGATTCCAGGGGCCAAGCAATCAAGTGACTGGAACGAGCAGTCTAGTTGCACCGTTGCTGATGTCGTTGGTGTTGCTTGCTACTGTTGTTTGAAAGTTACGTACTTTTAGTTTGATCTTCGGATGGGACCGTACTGTGGCAGTTGTTTTTTCTAGGAACATGGACATTTTGACTAGAGTTTCGTAGCTGACCTTATACTAGTGCAAAGCAACTACCATGCAAGGAAAAGACACGGAAGCCAGACGAGCCTTAGACATTAACTGAATGTTTACTGACACAAAACAATGGTAATGTCTATACATTTGCATAATGTGGATTCTGTGCATGTAGAGTGCATCACGATTGTTTTGCGTTAGCAAACTTTCAGTTGGCATCCAGCAATCATCTTGTTTATGTGCCTCTTTCTTGGGCAATTGTTGCTTTACGATAGTTAAATGTACGCTTCACTAGGACGTTTTCATGTCTGATGAGGCAGCACATTGTTTTCACTCTGTCGCACAGCACTTGGTGAATCGTAAATACTGGCTCTAAGACTTTGTCTGCGCTCTTGTCCATTCTAGGGCCGCAAACGAGCTGCGTCAGATGGAGAAGGAGTACCAACGGTGGCGAAGAGGTGAGTGTTTGCAGAATTGTTTCTGGATACACACTGATTGATTATATTCGGTTACAACCTAGGAAAAAATGTCTGCTTCGACCACTGCCGTAACTGTTCCACTTGGAGAACGTTCACAAATGCACCATCCAACAGCGCTTGCTCATTTTCGTGATGTCAAGCTCTTCTTGAATGCTTGATATCGCTGACATTGCCATGTGGACCTTATCAACAAAGGCTCCCTGCGCACCCCCATAATCGTCTCTGGGCTGTCTCTAACTTACGTGACCCCCAAAAATGCACTGCCGAGACTGTGGCGTTTGCTTTTGTCCTCCGGTGCAATAGCCCTGAAAGGAGGGGATCTTTCTTTTCGTTGGAAATGTCTATAGACACATCTTTGGTTTGCTCGTTTAATGTCGGAAACTGGAACTTGCAGGTAAATTTTGTCAGGGGTTTTGACATTGGTTCTCAGCCAAGTGTAATTTTTCAGGTTGTGACGATGGACGTATAACTCTTAAAAGTGTAGTTCTTAAATTGGGCTACAAAATGTACTTTCAGTTCGAACGAAAACAAGCTAGCACGGCTGTCATTCGGAGATCAAGGTCCAGCACGCCGCAGTTATGTGGAATGAGCTGACATTTTTTCTGAAGTTTTAATTGAGCATTACAAAATAATTTGTTCTCAAGTTGTGATCGAGTATAGCAGAATATTTTGTTAGTGTCTGAAACAGAGGAAGCACTACGAATAATTTCTGCACAATGCCGCGAGGTGGAAAAGAAAATGAAAGGAAAATTCTACAGTCATGCGTTTGCAGCACAGATCTATGAGAAAATCCGTTCAGATTTCTTTAAAAAAAAACCTTATTTGATACCCCATTCTGAGGATCAATCCCGAGATCGGTTGCTGCACTAATGCTCCTTTGTCACGATGCCTTGGCGCATGCGCCCTTCCCCTAGTGGAAAAGTTGTGAAACACCCCATCATCTCGATGGCTGTTGTTTCGACAATACCGGTCGTCCCAGCTTCTCCCGAAACCCTAGAGGGCAGCACAGGAAAGTGCAAAACGCAGCGCAGATTGAGCTAACCATGTCAATTGGTAGAGTTGTCAAATAATTCCCTACTCCCCTTGCTGGCATCCTCGTCAGCTCAGTTGGTAGAGTGACCACCCCACCCCGAAAGGCACTGGTGCATGGCTTGATCTCTGGACTCCGAATAGATTTTCTCCTGCTAAGAAGCTTTTGTTATCGGCTGCAAAAAAGCTATAAATGGGTTTTTGTCAATTTTTCCTTTCGTAGAGGGAGTGCGGTATGAGCATTTGTTTTCGTTTTATGAATAAATTGTTTTCAGGTCGTTGCTGCAGTAGAAGTCGTGGTACAAAAGAATACTGTGTGCCAAAGTGCAAAGGTGTAAAGAGTTTTACATAGGCTTATCACGCAGGCCATGGTGAATATACAAAAGCTGTTTATGTAAAGCAGGATCACACCATGCTGCACACTTCATTGAAGCAAAGCTTCTCTTGTCTCTTACAATTTTTTGGGTGCTGCTGTGGCCTGACCGCACGTCCCGCTGGGTTTCTCGCAGCACCTTCGGATTGCAATCACTATTTGCAACAGTGAAAGAAACAAACAGGGATAGAAAGAGGACAGTTGCCTCCACTTTTTTTTTTTTTTCATTCCCTTCCTTCACTGACGCCGACACGTGCTGCCTCATGGGTTGCAGAAAGAATCGTCTTTTCTTATCTTCGTACCGCTACACTGTAGCATAGGTGTTTCCAACTGTGGGGAAAAAAAAGAGAGCCCACCGTTTTGCATGCACGGCTCAACTGTATAGGGGAAGGGCGCACTCCTTTGCAACGCCAATAGAAATTCGGCCATGCTAAATTATGCTGTTGGTGCGGAAAGAGCATATTAATTAATCGAGGTACTGACACAAAAAAATTTAGGAGCTTATATCTTTAGTACGATGAAAAGTCCAAACACTTGAGAGCCTAGAAAATGTACTGGTAAGTGCTCCAAAAAAAAAAAAAGTAATAGTATATTTTTAAAAGCTAGTTTTGGTTGCTACGGTAACTGACATGACAACGCAGTATGATCTTCTAGTCAGGTGCTCGTGCGAGATATTTTGACGTTTCCGTGGCTTCTGTACATCGCGGCTCCATTGGTCACGAACAAGTGGCTATTTTGAGTGTTCTGGTACCCAGCATCATCACAACTAGCCATACCGGTGCGTAAAGTTTGCAGCATTGGCACGGTACACTGACGTCACGATAGTGTCGATGCGAGTAGATGTGCCGTGCAAAAATAGACTTTACTGTCGAAGCAAAATATCTTCTCAGCATTTACCAGCGTTCACACTAGCTCAAACCCCTCTCTGTGTACCAGGGATGTGCACGGCAGGGTAAGCTCACCTTCGAAAAATGGTGTCGGTACCCCTTTAACGCGCGCCAACAAAATGGCTCGAAAGTGTGCACTCGGCGTCAGGTGCACCTCGGCTTGAAAGAAGCATTGCACGGATTGATTGATTGATATGTGGGGTTTAACGTCCCAAAACCACCATATGATTATGAGAGACGCCAAACGGAACAGGTGCATCTTTGATACGCAGCGAAGCGTGGTGTGGACCGCGAATGTATGCTGTTTTGAAGACTGGAGGCGAGGCAGTGGTTCATGGTAGCCATAAAAGGCTGAAAGCATTGGTGAGCACTACGTGAGAAATTAAAATGCATAGCAATGTATGGTGGCTATTGAAGGTCAGAAGCTTGCTGGGCACTACCAAAAGCTGTTGGCGGAGCAATGTCTTGCAGCTACTGTAGACAAGTGGGTTGAATATAACAACCAAAAAGTGAGAGATGAAGCGACAGTGCGTCGCAGTTAAGCAAGAGCAGCGTGTCTCACTTATCAGTGTTGAATTCTTTGAAAAGTGTTTTGTAAGGAATGAATTAAAGGACGGTTTACTGCATCTGTGATATACTTGCAAAAGTCTGTGCTTGCATAGTGCACTTACAAAAGACACAAAAACAAATACATTCATGCGTCTCGAATGGACTGGTATTTTTTTTTTTTTCATTCTGCTGGACTTCTTTTGTTGTATATATTGCAGTACTTTTACTGTTGCATAGCATACATTACTTTTAGGAGGTCACTGCAAATGCCATCATGAAATCACTCTTGCCTGCTGTGTATCGAACACAGTATGCTGTATTGATGTAACAAAGAAGGAGCTCGTGCTTAGGTTTAAAAGTTCAAGGTATGCAATAGAAGATCAACAGTTTTCTTTGCCCCACCCTTTTTCCTTTTTTGATTCATTCCCCCTCCTTCACACCACCGCTAAAATATAGCCTTGGGCGATGAGGACTCCGAGTTCTGGGGCGAGTCATCGGAAACCTACGATCTTGGCGCCCCTTTTCCAGACTGGACGCGGCCCTCGACGGCGACGGCAACCAGCGCGAAGAAGTCCACGAGCAAGACGTTCCTGACGTTCCACAGCTTCAAAAGGCGTGTGGCGAAGACGGTAGGCAGAGTGGCATCGCCGAAGAAGAAGAAGGGAAAACGGTCACCAGCGGCACCGGCACAGCCGACAAGCACTGAACTGTGTTGCTCTAAGCTGTGAGGCCTGCGGTTGTCTGCTTGTGCCCATCACGTGTCTTTTCGAAGACTCGTCTACAGGGTGCCGCTACTTCGTGCTTCCCAAGTTCCGCCGCTTCCGGTTGCGTGTGTTTCGCGTGTTCGCTTGCACGTGGATCATGGAAGGCGTCGCGAACGCGGCATTTGACTCACCCGCTTTGACAAGCGGGCAATCGGACACTTGTGGCTACCTCGTGCTGTATTCTGTGCCTTGCACTGTTGTTGCTACAGTTCCTATTCAGAGACTATTTTGATGAATTAGAGCCCTGGGGTAGGTGTGTGCCAAGCATTTTCGAAAATGACTTTCGCTTTTCTCTACCCCACCCCTTTCTTCGGCAGCTTAACTGCAGCTCGAAGTGCCGAATCAAATGTGCCATCTGAAAGCCACAGTGTCGCTAATGAAAGCATGTACAGTGCAAGCTGCTGTTTTGAGGAACGCCCGTTTGAATGTACCGCGACCAGCTGCACACAGTCATGCTAAAAAAGTGGCACAAAAAAAAAAAACTAACGGGGACTACAGGAGATCCAGTGCTGGGCTATGCGCATCTGCTTCTGGACATCCTGCACCTGTTGTTTTATCAAAGTATGTTCAACCTGCAAGCCTGTCTACACTTTTGCAGCAATCAATTTCTTTCAAAGGGGGAATGCAAATTTTTGTTCTTACATCTTATGTGCACTTCGTATGTAATATGAGCGACATTTTTTTTTTCCAAGAAGGTTAACCCTTTCTGGGCCAGTTGCGAGGATAGTTGCCTTCAAGAAAATTGCTGTTGCAATGCTTGCAGTTCTTGGAACTAGTGTCCCTGCAGTGCTTGTTAATCGTAATGCATAAGGGTTTTATATTTGCTACTGGTTTGTCAAATGCTCCCGTGAGACAAGCTTCTTGTTGGAAAATTTCAGTACCAACTGGGGGAACAGACCAGGAGGAAACGTTCGTTGCAAACCGCCCCCCTCTGTTGGGGGGTACTTTTTTTCTGGTTTAGCATAATGGACACAACAATTGGATCATTATAAGAACAGCCATGCTGTCTATCCAATGTACGCAAAATATTGTAGTACTGTTGTACACTTTTTATTGCTTCTGACGGCACTGAATGGGTTTGGCTACTGCAGTTACACTGAATTATTTTCTCAATGTGCTCTTTGGAGCAGGTTATACTGCACATTGGTCAGGTTACATTCATTTAGCTGCATTCATTCTGGTATGAATGTGTGAACACAAACATCTACTTATGAGCTTAATCTAGTAATCAAAATCTCGAATCAACACATGGTCCCCAAGAGGCAGGTGTCAAGTCAAAGCTTGTCTGCTAATCAATTGTGAACATGTAGGACTGGTTAACACGTGCTTGAACACGAGTGTTTTTCATGCCGTAGTGGCTTACCAAGAGGTCGCAGGCCTAATCGCCCCTCCCCTTGCTGTGGCATTCCAACCAGGGGCAGCTTAAAAGTGTTTGTGCACGACCCTTTGGGGTCACTTTAGTTAGAGAATTACAAATTATCAAGGTTAACTGAACTTTATCATCCTTCGTAGCTGGTGTGCTAGTTGGTTAGCCATGGTAGCTTTCGGCAGGGTGAATCAGAACGTGAGACAGCACAGAACGTAGTAATAGGCAAAAACACAAGCGTTGACATTTTTTCTATTCTTACGTTCTGTTTCATTCTTGTTACCGATGCGCACTGTTAACATTTTTTTCTATTCTTATGTTCTGTGTCATTTTTGTTACCGATGCGCACTGCTACAAGCTATAACTTGCATGTTACATTGGGCATTATACCTGAGAGCTCATTCCACTTATGTTTTCACTTGAACTCTGTAAAACATACCATTGCTGTGCCTGGGAATCTAAGCCGTAAATTCACCTTTAATGCCCAAACACGAAAGCAATCGAACCACTTCATTAGTATAGCTGTAGCGCTGTATGAGAGCCTTGAATAAATCTGCACCTCCTGCTGCAACTTTCAAAGCAACAGCACGACGCTTGGTTACTACATAACTGCACTGAAACACTACATGTTGTGGCCTTTTTGCCGCAGTTCTGCATTTTGACAAAAAGTAAAGTATGCAAGATGCATTACATGCAGCGAGTGCCTTTCATGAGCCATTCAAAAGCTTATCAGTACCATCTGCCAGACTTTCAGACGTGCCTGTACTTGAGCATCTGTGTCTATGTAGCGTCGTAGTATTTGTCAGTAGAACAGCTGTGATGCATTTTTAACATGCAGTTGTACACCTTTGAGTGTGCTCCGTTAAAGCATGTGTTGACGCGAGCAGCAACACTCTTGTTTTTCTGTTCTAACGAGCATCACTGAATCTAGTGGTTCTCTCTCTGGGCATTAATGGCAGTCTTAGTCTGTCGATGAGTGTGTCATTGACGTCGAATTGCTGCTACATGGCTGCCTTTTAAACGTGTAGATGCCTTGGTGTAAACGTGTAGATGCCTTGGGGCTGTCAGTGCCTATGCGATCGACGAGCTATGTCAATCTTCGTTGTCAAGTGGCACTTGCATAGTTACCCTATGACAATGGCGTGTAGTGCCTTTGATGAGATTTGAATATTATTGGCGGCATCGTTTTGTTGCTCGCAAGCAGTCGTGAAGCAGCAAATTCATTAACTAGCGTCATACTGCAAAGCGGAACAGGTGTCCATGATATTCTCTTTTATGATACCTTCGAAGCGCAGCTGTCAGCAATGCATGCAGCTCACAAAAAGCAAGGTAGAGTTGAGTTTAATACGCGCAGTATGATGCACTGTCCAATGTTAAATGTTGAAAGGTGGTCACTACAGCCATAGTAAACATGATTAGTTAGTACTCCTAGTCCTGTGGTATATTACCGGTGGTATCATACCTGTGTGTCTCTAAGGCTCTAATCTCGCAATGTACAAGTGTTTTGTTCGTGCGCTCTTTGATGACCTCTAGAACGCCGTTTCGAGCTGCCGCGATGTGCATTGGAGAGACTACTTTCCTCACAAAATAAGCTAGTTGCTTTCTCCTAACAAAGAATGAAAACAGCGACACAGTGCCATAGCATTGTGTGGACCTGCTGATAGCGGCTTGTAACATTCATAGGCAACCAATGTTTTTACTCGTTAGTGTTTTGTAAAATCTCATGCTTGCAACAGCGATGTGGGGAACACACCCTCGTGTAAGCATTTCCGGAATATTGTGGTTATTTTCGGTTAGCGATTCCTCATCAGTGTGTTCCATAAATGTAGCTACCTTCACACCAAAGCATTTCTTCCTGTGAATGTTTCGATTCCTTTGTGCATGTTTGAGGACAGGATTGTTGGCGGTAAAAGAGTCCTTCATTGCTGGCTTTAGCTTGCTATGTAATGATAGTGGATGCTATAATTTGAACATATTGGTAATGGCAGCTGCGTCACTTCATGACATCAGATTCCAGGCTGTCATTTATTCGTTACCGGGCGTAAGTCTCTGAGGTAATGGCTCATCGATTAAATAGCAATAGACTTTGTACTAGTGTCATCTAGACAAGAAATGTCAGAGGTGAAAGCTCACAGGTCATGGAACAAAGAAAGGTAATTTCAGCCAGAAATGCAATGCGCTGGCCTCTAGCATTGCATTGGGGAACTGTGCCGAGAAGTGTTCGCTGTATTGTCAGTTGTTCAAATTACACTAAACATTTGCATATTCACCTAGTAAGCTAGGCGGCACGTGTGAGGCATCAAGCTTGATTATTGCAAATAATCGCAACATCGACATGACATGTGCACATAAAGTCAAATGAGTGCTTGGAATGAAATCAGTCTAGACTGACGTCAGTTTCTGACTCAATATTTCCCTTAATGCATCGCACTAACTTTGCCAACAATGTGTTATGCTGATATAAGCAACAACGTGTTTAGAACAAATTTACCAAAATCATCGTGCCCTTGGGAAATTAGCATGCTGAATGGACGGCTGTATTTTGATGCTTAGTGTCCGTTGAGTTCTTGACTGCACTGACACCTTGCAGACTTGTGTTAACATCTTTTGCTCAGAATCGATGTGTCATGTAGGAAATAATCTGCATTGTAGATTGCAGGACGTCATCTATGGTAGCTGAGCTATGTGTGATGCATATGTTGACGCCATCTGCTTGCAGATCATTTCTATTTACATACCTGTCTTGTTTATGATTTAAAGGCAGTTCTGGCAGCGCGTGCCTAGCTTGTGCTTCCAAAGAAGTCGACACCTTACTCAAGCCTGATGCAGCTCGTGTGGAAATCTGTTGTTCCTTAGGCTATGACAAGGTCACTGCTACTTCGGTGCAGTGCGTTATTTTGTATGTGACCTTTTTGTGTGACAATGTGTTGTTGTGAATAGGTGTGGCACAATTTGACATGCGGCTTAACTTTGCATGATGTGACGTATCAGAAGTTTCTCTAGTCACCGATACATTGTTGCTCAGTCACATGCAATGTACAGCAAGGAGTATTTTTACCATATTGAATGTTTGGAGCTTTGCCCTGAAATCCGAAAGAATAAATTTTCTTGCAAAGTGCTTCTACAAGAGTGCCTGTATTTGATTTTACTTTGCTGCTTTGTTCCATCTCCTTCTCTGGCTTGGTGTACCACAGGAATTGTGGCTGCCTGAGCGTATCGCCTCACCACTCTGACAAGTCATAGCACAGAAAAGTGTAGACTGCGAAATGCAAAAGACAAACACTTCCAGTAAAAATTCTGAGACGCTGATCAGATTGGTCACGTGAGTAGCATCCCAAGACATGCAGACACATGGCATTTGCAACAAGGTGTGAGTGGACCTTGCAGAAGTAGAACAGCTGCGCCATTTGCGCTATTATGTGCCAAGCTTGTTTACCTGCTACGCCGCAGCACACGAATTTCGTCACCACTTCTAACAGCCATCAAGCCCTCGTACACAAGAACGTGACTGAAGCATAGTGTTTTCACTGTCATCGAAACGCTAATAGTTTCGGTTTTGTCGAGGCTATGATCGTTTGAGCAGCAGCTGTGAACCTCTGTGTGTGAGCAGTAGCTGTGAACTGTGTAGTCGATGGCACGTGCGCTCTCAGCGAAGAGGCTGTGCGAAAAAGCACCTCTCCCTGGTGCGGCCGTATTCTCTTAAGGCCTGACCACATGTAGCCGTTTTAGCACGTGGCTTTCTTGACGCAGCACAGCAAGAAAGCATTGATTTCTCCCTATCTGGCACACCTATTTTACCCCACTCTTCACCAACCACATTGCACCACCTGCGGGGCCCCCGGGCTGATCTTTTCCACTGCTTGTGGAACTGCCCAAAGCCCGTGGCGGTAGACCTTATTCTAACCTAACCCTTCCCTTTCCTCGTGGGAGGCCGCTCTTCGGGTCACCGGCTCGAACGACAAGTTGTGGCTGGTGCACCGGGCCTGCCTAGAGATGTCGGCCAGGGGGCTCCCGGATGTCTATAGGGGCCCAACCACATTTACTTTAATTTTTTTTTTCAAATAAAGTTGTATGCTTCTTCTCCCTCTCTTTATAATAGAGAGAGGTCAAAGGGCACGCGACTACAGTAATGCAGCATCCCGTAGTCAAGCGCCCTTTCTCTCCATGGAGAGAGGGTGCAGCGCCGCATCAAAAAGCAACGAACCGACGCGCTAAAACGGGTACGTGTGGTCAGGCCTTAGCAACAGTGTTTTGTAGTGTTACGTGATATATCGTATCCAAAAGAGTTAGCTGTTGGCATTAGTTCGTATAACATTACAATTTGTTGCTCTCGCTTGCTTCTCCCTCGCGTTAAAACTGCAATTTCTTTAAATGCGAATGCGTTTCTTGATTGGGCTATGTCAGGCTTCCCGCATTGTCCGCGTGCCCGCATCTCTCCGCTCTCACTCCTTCTCCCATAGCAACAGCTGCGAACGCGCGCGCGTATCCTCGCCCCTAGCAACTGGAGCATGTGGTGCGAAAGAGAGTAGAAGAGGGTAAGGGCAGTGCTTCGCCGCTCTTTCTCTTAGCGTTCACTCTCTCTCCTCTCGGCGCCCCACTCTCTCCGTTGGCTGGCTGGGCGCCTCTCCAGGCAATGGCAGAAGTCGGTGAAGGCGAATGTCTGACGGCAGCGGTACCCTCTCTCCGCGCAAAAGATGCGTTCACGATTCCCTTCGGGGAGGGGGGGGGCATTTTTTTAGGACTTGATGGCAGCGTTCAGAAAATACAGGAAATGGTAATGGTATTCGAAAGAAGCGGCGATGGTGTCTGGTTCCTGGAACAGCCTAGCAAACAAAGGTGCAGATTCCTCTGTGGGAGCACAGGGCTGCTAATAGCTAATCAAGCGTATGCACGTGTTCTCGTTCGTTTCACCGCTGTGCCCTGATATATTTGTCGCGCGCTGCAATTGCATTCTCTCTTCTCTCATCTAGCGCTGGAAGCTGAGGAGGGAGGAATGACACTGGGAAATAAACGCGCCATGCGTGCCTCGTCACCTTGAGCTCTTTTTCTCTCTTTCTTCTTTTTTTTTTCCTCGAATATGCCGCTTCTCAGAGCGATCGCGCGCGCTAGATAGATTGATATGGCTGTACCCTTTAGATAGGGCGGTGGCTAACGCCACCAAGCCGTAATGCTTATAGTGAACCAAAAAGTATATTTTTTTTTCCTTTAAATAGGGAGGTTGAGGACTGGTACTTTGCAGTGAAGGGTTTAATTTTCACTCGTGCCTTGACTTTAGCCACCAATCAGATAACCTTCTTCTAGTTAATTCTACCCGCCTAAAGTCTATTTTGCCCTCCCTGTACCTAAACCCCAGTGATTTGAAAAACTGTGCCATCATCCTGAACTATAGGGTGAAGCCCTTTACAGAACATTATCAAGTGTTTGGCAGTTTCCTCCTCCTCTCCACATGCACTGCATACCGTGTCTACCCCTTCGTATTTGGCTCGATATGTCTTGGTTTGCAATACTCCCGTCCTCGCCTCAAACAGTAGAGAACTACCTCGAGTATTATCACAGATCCTTTCCTTGGCAATTTCCTGCTTAAAAATTCGATAGATCTCTAGTGTGGACTTCTTAATCATGACAATTCTCCACATATCGGTCTCCGTTTCCTTCACCTTCTTCTTGACTGATAGTTCTTTTTGGTTTTGCTCCCTGCTGTTTTCTAAGCATTTACCCGTCAATTTTCTGGTTCGCTTCCTTCATTTTATATCGACATTCATGTACAAGTAGCTGAAAACCTTCCTAGCCCAACACTCCTCCCCCATTTCTCTCAATCGCTTCTCACATTTTATCTTGCTGCTAACTTCCCTGCCTTCAAATCATGTCCATTCTATATCACCTTGTACTCCCTGATTTGGTGTATTCCCGTGAGCTCTTAAAGCAAGCCTACCTATTCCACGTTGCTTAATTTCTAATCTTGCTTGAACTTCTTATCTCATGCACAAGACAGCATTGCCGAACGTCAGACCAGGAACTGTGACCCCTTTCCATATTCCTCTCACAACATCATACCTATAGTAATTCCACAGTGCCCTATTTTATCACTGCTGCATTCATGTTACCTTTAGTCATTACGTACATTTCGTGTTCCCTTAGGTACTCGGTTCCATTGCTTATCCATATGCCCAGATATTTGTATTCATCTGTTATCTCTAGCGTGACCTCCTGTATCCTAAGCTCACTATCATTAAAAATCATGACTCCTGAATTTTTCTTACTGAATCTGAAATCTAACCTATTCATTACAGCAGATGTCCATCAATCTCTGCAAATCTTCCTTGTTGTCTGCCATTAGCACTATATCACCTGCGTGCATCAATGCTGGTAATGCCTGTTCAATGAGTTTTTCTTGTTTGACGAAAGAGAGGTTGAAGCCAAGTCCACTTCCCTTTAATTTGGCCTCTAATCCTTGTAGGTACATCATGAATGGCAAGGGTGATAGTGGACACCCCTGCCTAAGTCCCCGTTTCACCTCTGTGGGCTTGGATACATGTTTTTCCCACTTTATAACTACCTTGTTACTTTTATAGATTTCCTTTAAATGATTAGTGACTCCATCTTCCACACCCAGTGTGTCTAGTATTCCCCACAAGTCCTCTTGAACAACGCTATCGTACTTGGGCTTGGATACCTGTTTTTCCCACTTTATAACTACCTTGTTACTTTTATAGATTTCCTTTGAACATTAGTGACTCCATCTTGCACACCCAGTGTGTCTAGTATTCCCCACAAGTCCTCTTGAACAACGCTATCGTACGCTCCCTTGATATCCAAAAATACTAGCCACAGGGGCCTGAGTTCCATTTCTGCTATTTCGATGCACTGCGTCAGTGAAAACAGATTCTCTTCCGACCTTCTGTGTTTCCAAAACCCATTCTGCAGTTCCCCCAGCACCCTCTCATCCTCTATCCATGCCTGCAGTCTTTCCTTTATAATCTGCATCGCCAGCCTGTAGACCACTGATGTCACTGTTATAAGACGGTAGTTGTTTATGTCATCTTTGTCCCCCTTTCCTTTATAGATCATGCTCATCCTGCTTAGTTTCCATCCATCGGGGACTTCACCATTGATTATTGTTTTGCTCACTGCCTCTATGAAAGTCTGCTTAGGCTTCGGACCCAATGTCTTTATCAGCATAATTGTAATGCCATCTGGGCCTGTTGATGTGCTACTGAACCCTCTTCTCAGCCCTTTCCCACTCTCGTTGTGAAAATGGAGTCATTGCACCACTTGATCCATCCTTGTCTATTGTGGTGCATAAGGCATTTTTTTGTTGAAATTTTTCTGTCACCCTTGTTGTCATATATTCAGCAGTTTTATCCTCTTCTAGCCTAGCACCTTGAGCGGTATTTATAAACCTCTGGTGTAGGCTTGTCTCATTTCTTAGGAAGTTTAGATGGTTCCGAAATTTCGCAGCTGCCTTTCTGTCCTTTTTATGTACTTCTGCCAGCCACTGAGCACCCTTTATTCTAATTTTTTCATTGATCAGAAGGGATGCTTCCCTTCTAGAGCTTAGAAAGATTTCCCATTTTCTTTAAACATCGTCAGTCAGTTCACCACGTTGCTTAGCATGTCTGTGTTCCCTAAAGGCTTCCTGACATTTTGCTATGGCTCTCTTAACTTCCTCATCCCACCAACTCTTGGGCTTGTGTCTTCTTTTCTGGGATGACTTGTCACGTGCCTTAGCAAGCTCTAGTCCAAACAGTCTAGTTAGATTTGTTTATATATATCCACACAGTTTTATTATCTTCAGTGATTACTTTCTCGATTTGTTTAGTAGCAATTTCTATTTGCCTTTCTGAATGAAAATTTTCCTGTAGTTGCTTATCATCTTGTCTCCTTCCCACTTTCGCTGCTCTTCCAAAACTTAGCTTGATACGTTTGTGATCACTACCCAGACTTCTGGAGCCACCTTCAGCTATGTGCATTCCCCTGAGCTTATCATACATACTATGTGACATCAGTGCGTAATCTATCGTTCACTGCAGCCTTCCTACCTCCCATGTTATTTGCCCTTCACACTTCTCGGTACTGTTGCAAATGATCAAATCATGCCTTTCACACATATCCATGATCATTTTGCCT